ACTTAAATAATTTTAGCATATATATTAAAATTGGGGTGTCTAAAGATTTGCCAGAAACACACTCCAATATTGAACAAACCTGGTCACTGATTAATGCAAATGGAGTTAAACTAATTTTAACTTGTGATATGAAAATTGCAAATATAATTTGTGGTCTTCAAACTCAAGTACGCACCCTTGCACCTGGTGTGACGTCAAATCCAATTGTCTTGCCAAATCTAGAAAATTGCGAACACTGTGTTAAATTAGTTCAAGCCTTGAGTCTTTTCAGCAATCTGGCGGGGTTGTTTCTAATGCAAAGCTGTTTGGCAATGTCATTCGAAAACCAATCATCTGCGGGCCAGTCAATGTTCTGATTTTGGAAATCATTCCACCAATGAAATTGCATCTCCTCTTAGAAGTTGTCAACAATCTTTTCAAAATCCTTAAAACTGCTTAGATATAAGCTGTTAAGTGGCCAGCCGCTCTCCACATTCAACTGAGCCCGTATCACGGGGGCCAGTTTGAGGGAAATGAAGGAAATGAATGCAGGAAGCTTCTTAAAAAATGCGGATATGCTGCAGCAACTTGCTGAGACAAACATGCTTCCCAAAATTGCGTGCATAATTTAAGCATTCAAAAGCTTCAATTTAGTCGTCAAGGCTTGCTTTGGATAGATCTTTCAGCCGGATTTTGCTGAAAAAATTGAAAATTTCAAAAAGTGTTACCTAATGATAACTAGTGCAAGCGTAACATCCAAAATTCACACCGTCTACTACATCAAGGATTTCATAAGTCACAAAGGATCCCCATTGAGGCCCTATAGTGAACAAACTGTCAAGACTTCTCATCAAAATTTTTATCAACATTGGTTGAGGTACAAGCAAAATAACAGTCATCCAGAGTACAAAGAAAGATTGTTGCGCTGCATAATTGATCTAAACAGTAAGCATCTTTAAAGAACATCATTTGAGTTATTAGAAATTAGGCTGCTGAAATTCATATTTTACGGCGTATAATGAATACTTTCACCATCTTTCAAAGTAGTATTATAGAGTATTTGTATTAAAAGAGTACATTGAGCTATTTATTAATAATCTTTTGATGGAGAAAATCAAAAAAACATTTCTTAAAATGTAATTAGGTATTTGATGGTATACAATGTAAAAAATAGGGTTTAAATAGTTTTCACTTCATTTTAAAAGTAAATGTATTTAAGGAGGTCAATACAAAATATTTTAAGAGATCTTTTTTTTTTTTGTTTTACTAACTGGTAGTCATGGCCGTAAACGCCGGGGAGGCCAGGGGGTCATGTCCTTCTCTACTTTTTTTTGCAAGGACTTTTTGTTTTAGAAATATAGACAACTATTTTAGAAATTATAGATTTTATTTTAGAAATTGAGGGGTAGAGCCCCTCCACTTTGAAGGCCGTGTCAACGCCATTGGCATAAGCCAATTCAAATTTGGTCTATAAAATGAAAACTGTACATGTACCGATAAAATATTAAAACAAAAATTGTTGGTGTTACATAGTAGAACACTCATGTAACTGTTATTTTAAAATTAGTGACCGAATTCCAAAGTAATTAATAACGCTTTGAGCTACAAGTAGCAAAAAACTGACAAAACTTCAACTAAAACTGCAATAAATCCTACACCAGTCATCCAATCAGGCTAAAATTTTGTCCAGAGTTTGATGCGACTATTGGCTACATTTGCACTAATTTTTATCAAATTATATGGAGTGGTTCAAATTCTACAAGTGTTTTTATTGGCGCACTATGAAGTCAAAATTTGACTTATTTGAACATTCAAATTAAATAATTTTCCGCGGACAAAATTGAATGTTTTCAAAATTTGCATCCAGGGTACCTTGATGTGTACGCTAACTTTCCGTATAAGTGGCGTTCTTGGGACAGCTAGGTAGGCGTTTGAAGGGTCTACCCGTGCTAACCCAAGGCTTTCTAAAGTAGAAAGCCCGCTCATGCAATGAAAAAACTCTTGTGACGTCACTTTAGTAGTCCGATGTTATATTTTTCGATTATCTATTTGTTTCTAAATATCTCAAGGTGTAAATATTAAAGATTTAGTTTTCATATTTTCAATGCAGTTTATTATGAATTTGGTACATTTTAATCAATTTTATTAAAGTGTGAAATACTTAGTGTTTTTAAATTTTCAACCGATCCAAATATGAAAGAATTATGGATTCGTCAAATTCCTCAAGAAAATTTTCCTTCAAATAAAACTGTGTGAAAAAAATATCTCTTTCATACATTTATTGTTTGTGTTGATACAATGAAACAAAATGATGGTTATGTAATATGTGTTGAGAGAAAAAGACCAAAATTAACACAAGATTCTTACCCATCATTATTTCCTAACATTTCTTTTTATTTATCAATAAAATTTATATTTACAATAATCTACTTGTTGGATTGTTTACTTTTAATTTGAAAATAGACAGCAGTTTTGATGGCTAAGGTACTTAACGATGAATGTAAACTATCTTATTTGACTCAATGTTCTACTAGGTTAACACAAATTTTTCCTGGTAATAAAATTATTATGCCCAGTTCAGATTATGTTTTATTAATTCAATGTAATTTAAATAATCTATGTGAGTGAGTTAAAGACAGTAATAAATATTCTACAGATGTTCATAAATGTTTAGTATTTTTATGTAAACAAATAAAATGTTATTGATTTATCAACTTTAACATAGTCCTGAAACTCTAGCTTATAGTTTTTATCTGAAATGCATGTCACAGTGCAAGTATTTATAACTTCTTTATTATTATCATACAAAGATGTTGCTCAGTATCGTTCAAAGATGTTGTTTTAATAAAAAGTATGACTGCTATCTATTTAAAAGAAATACTATAAAAGTGGTTGAAATAATAAAAAATTGTGGTTACAAAGTTCTTTTTTTAATTTTAGACATTAGCCAGATTAATTGAAACATGTTTAATGACTTAGTAATTTTTACTCATTTATTCAACATTCTTATGATTCAACAAGAAAACTGTTTTTTTTCTATTTAATAGTGTACATCTATTGAAATGTATTCGCAATAACTGGCTGAGACAACTTGATCATTATGGCTATTGATATTTATTTGCAATAACTGGCTGAAACAACTTGATCATTATGGCTATTGAAATGTATTCGCAATAACTGGCTGAGACAATTTGATCATTATGGCTTTTGAAATGCATTTCAAACAATGACTTTTTAAACAATGACTTTTTTATTTAAAAAAAAAAAGTTTATTTTGAATTCAAGGATAGGAAAATTTTTAACAAAAAATTAGACATGGCTGCTTAACTAAGCAAACAATTTTTGCTTGAAAACACTTTAGATAACTTTTATTTAACTGATTAAAAACATGCATTCAATTTTGCTAATATAGTACCATAAAGCAATGATGCTCGTTATTTTAGTTATTAAAGGTCTATGTGCTTTCTATGAAATAATCTCATCATAGATATCTCAAGAAAAAAGGTTGGACGGGTCCTTTCTTTCTAACTTTTCAATTCTATTGTTAAACTGCTTTATAAGAGTATTTTTGCGAATATTTGATATAACTTTTATTTGTACAGAAGTAAAATTTTAAACAACTTTTTAATTTAAAAAATAATTTAGTAAAGTAGTTAGCTGTAAGTCCTTTTACGGCGAAGTAAATGATTTACATACTCTTTATCCATATTTTCTAAAAACAGACAAAAATTACTTGAGCCTTGCTTTTCCAGTGGGCATGCGTCGTCCGGTAGTCTGGACGTCCGTGAGACGTCCAACGGACGTTTCCCGGACGACGCGTACCAACTGGGTTGTTTCTTATTTGATTCATAACATTTACCAAAATTCAGTCTCGTTTTTTTTCTAGAAAAATAAATAACGTGTTTTAGCAAAAATGTTGATAAACTACCTAATGGAAAATTTACATAAAAACGCATACATTAAGATAATATCTTTTAGTTTTATAAAAACTAATAATAGTTTTTAACATAAAATCCCCATATTATGGGGATCTCTTGCTTCTAAAGCAAGCTCTCTAACCACTGCGCAGCGGCTCTTATTTCGGAAAATATAGATGGAATTTATTATAATATTGTAAACTATATAATTTACAATATTTAGGACGTACTTTTTCTCTCCTTTTTAAATCCGATTATTAACTTGCACTAAGAAGTCCTCGCGGTCTTATAACAGAGCACCGTGAAAGTGTCTCAAAGTTTCAGATATGAAGCTCAGACCTCCTAACTTACCAATGTTACAAACATAGCGAGAGGTGAAATTTAACCAAAGCTATTTTGATTTAGTAGTAAGCGCTCGAATTACTACACGACGGCTCCTCTAAAATTGCTCCTAATATTTTGCTTATAAATAAATAAAAAATTAAAATACAAATAACTTAAAAAATCATTTGAGTGTTAACCAATGTAAATTTAGAATAAATCAAGAAGCAAGTGAAGGTACTTAATTAGCATTAAAGCTGTAAAAAAAACTTCAGAATATTTTTGAAAACTAAAAAAAGGACTATGAATATTAATCATTTTTTATCCAATTTCAAGATTTTAATTTCCTGAACCATTTTTATTGTGTATAAATTTTTTAAGGTTAACACCCGAAAATTAATTTGAATTTTATTAGTAAAAAAAAAGCGAGCTAGAAATCTCACAAAAGTAATACCAAGTTGTTAAATGTTTCCTAAAAACTTTGGAATATTCGTGTCAAAAGGGCGCTTACTTTTCATATTTTAGTTAACAGTTAAGTTAAATTTCCGCATCAAAAGTGTTACAATAAAATCTAACCAGAAAAACAACTGACACTCCCTAAACAAAGAAAAATATTCGTGCAAACTTTTTGTGTTAAAATCTTTTTTGGATAAAAAGTTATCAGGTTGCAAAGGTGTTATAAAGTTGAAAAAAGAGAGCCATATACTTTGCGAGAAAAAAAGCACCTGTGTTGACATTAACATAATACAAAAATTTAATATAAAATGTTGAAAGGTATTTTTTTTTTTTAATAAAGTGGACAAAAAAATAAGCAACATCCTTAATAAGGAAATAATGGTAAATAATTTTTTCTTCATTTTTATTAACATTAAAAAAAAAAAATTTTAACACTAAGAAAAACTTCTGAAAACTACTTTTTTTGTTCAACTGTTTTTGTTTAAATTTCATAATTATTAATCTAGATATTGGTTTTTCTTGTTATCACCTACTTTGGTCCAACTGTTAAAGGTATATGTGAATATGTGAATGTATTAGCTTATTTTATTATTACCTTATGTGAATTTATTAGCTAGCTTGTTTTGTTTTTTGTTGTTGTTTGTTTTGTTTTTGTTTTTCTTTCGTTTTTGTTTTGCTCATGGTCGCTCTCCTCGATTTAGTCAGGCTATATGAGAGTGAACCATCCAGAATATAGACTATACATATATTTTTTTTTATTTGTTTTTTATCACATGCTTATTGTAAAATATCTATATTCTTGGTAAATATATTGCTTTTTGTTGTTGTTGTTGTTGTATAAAATTTTGATAAATTAATATTTTAAATTTTATACTTAAAATATTTCATAGCTTTTGTCAGAGTATAGATCTCGCTATGTAGAGTTAAAAACTCTTCTGGTGTTAATAAAGCATTAGGAAATATAAAGTTTTAAGGTTTAATAAAGTGATTTTTTTTTTCTGTATGTATATGAGTTGCTTTGAATTTTAAAGCAAATTAAACCATAAATTATTTGAAGTTGTATTGATTATGAAAAACGCTACACGTAAATTTATTAAGCAAAATTATGATTGAAAAATTTAGTTTTTTTAATCATTCTATCTAATTAAAATATTTCGTTTATACAAGAATAATAAAAGAAGTTAAACAAAGATCTTATTAAGGAAGTAATCATTAAAATATATTTTTACGTTATTTAACTAATTCAATTTATTTTTAAATGCTCTATAAACTTATATACTCGACCTATTCTTAATTTTTAGCATTATTATTTAAAATTTAATAAAAATTTTTTCCATTTAAAGAGTTCTTTCACTTTTTCCAAAATTAACTATAAAAAGTTAATTTTAGAAAAAGTGAAAGAACCCTTATATTTTGATATATATATATATATATATATATATATATATATATATATATATATATATATATATATATATATATATATATATATATATATATATATATATATATATATATATATATATATATATCGTTATATAGAAATCATTAAAACATTACATTAAAATCGTGTTTAAGTAAGATAACTTTTTTTTAAAATAATTTGTCTTTTTCTTTTATGTTTCTTTGTTTTGTGGTTTATTTCGAGTCGCTTTTAAGTTAAAAAAAATCTTTCAGAAAATTAATTTATATATTGCTAGATATCAGTATATTTATATATGAGTTTACATAAAGTAGTGATGGCGGGCTTGTTCTAAAAACGTTTGTATTAGCATTATTTTAGAGCAATTTAAACGTTATTTATGCATTTGTTAGATTCGAACTAGATTAAAAAGTGTTATAACTATAGTAACATAAGTTAGATAGCAGTTACAACATAAAGTTAAATGGCAACAGTTACAACATAAAGTTAGATAACAACAGTTACATATAACAAGTTTTTTGATAATTTACTTCAGTGATTTGTCTTTAAAACGGATATTTTCTAGGGCGGAAGGAAAATAGCTTATGCGAATAAAGGAATGATCGGAAGGGTTGATATGAATTGTGTTATTACTTCCTTTTTTATGTAAGAACTGTAATGTGAACTTTGTTTATCTTTACTTAATATTCGTATCACGTACACATTTATATTTTATATTTGAAGGCCGTATTTTACCTTATACCTTAAAAAACATTTTCAAATAAAAAATTATCATAGAAACTTTCACTGAAATTACGAGAAATTACGTGAAAAATAGGAATTGGTTCTACCGATCCATTGAGTAGCTTATTTTTGTAACTTCTATTGAAAAGAAACCGTGGCCCGATGGTTAGAGTTCTGGCTCATTGCCAAGTGGTCCGAGGTTCGACGCCGGCTCTAGCCCAATCTATGATAAGACCGTAAGGACTTCTGGGAGCACCTTAATAATCTAAAAAAAAATACTACTTTATTTAAGTTATTTTATTTATAATATTTAAGCGAATTGCATTCCTTGTACAACTTTCCCATGCATAGGCCATAGATACACAGATCTATTATAAAAACGTTTGAATCTCCGGTTATTTAAAGTTTTTATCTATTTTTATTTGAAATGAGTTTAGTAATGTGAGCAATACAGCTACAAATACACCTTTAAGTAAATTATCCCAGCTAGCACACTTACATTGGGCCAACGTATGTAAAACCATCGCAAACGTTGGCTCTTTTTTCCAATGCAAAACCAACGCTGATCCAATGTCATTTGGTTCAGGATAAAATTAATACCGACGGAGCTAAAAACATCTGGCAAATTTACATTGGTTTAATGTATGTAAAAACATGGCAAAAAGTTGATTATTTTTACAATTTAAACCCAACGTTAATTCAATGTATTAATTTCGACCTTGATTAAATGTACCTATACATATATAAGGGTTTTAATGTTGCCAACCCGGTTATGGTCCTTTCAATGCTACTAACCCAATCCTATGGTCCCTTCAATGCCGCTAACCCAATCCCCTCAATGTTGCTAACCCGGGTTATGGTCTAGAAAGTTGTTTATCTATGTACTAAAATAGGAAAGTGTTTACTTTAATGGATTGAGCAATGACTTCCACCCGCAACTTTAATTACAAAAATTAGCAGGCCCTATTATTATTCAAAAAAAAAGTTTTTCAAAATTATGTGATGTAGGTACTCAAATAAAGCAAAATTTTAAAGAAATTTTAAAAATTAATAACTTTTTAATATAAAAATTATTATTTTAGATTTTATTGCAAAATAACTATGTTTTTTTTAACTAAAAGTGAAAAAAGTGCATTTTTTATATATATATAAAGGAAATAAAGTTTAATAAAAATATTATTCCGAATAGTTTTGAATACAACACGTTAGGCCAATTAAAGTTCAACGTTGAATCAAGGTTATTACAACGTTGTGCTAACTTAAAATATAACGTTGGGCCAATGTAAAAAATAAAATGTTGAATCAACGTAGAAAATATAACCTTAAATAAATATTTTATCATTATTGGTTTTTAGTTGTTGGCGACGTCGCATTTGTAACCATAATGATATAAAAAAAAACTTTGGCAGCCGATGTTGGGCCAACGAAACGCGCGACATTGTTCTAATGTTTTAACAACGTGTGTGTGCTGGCTGGGATGGAACTTCTAAAAACATGCTATATCTCATCATAGAGTGCTGCGCATAAGAGATAGATATTATTACAGAATCTTGAAAAATTTTATAGTTATGAGACTGATTTTTGGTATCCTTTCTCTTCATAGCCTCATAGCCCCTTTTTCTCCCTCCCCCTCTCCAGTTTTATAAAGCTTGTCTACGTCCTTGCATTGAATTGACTTGAGAATTCCAGTAGTATAGAAACATCAATGCTAAACTAGTTCAAAAAATAAGACAATAGTAACTTATTTGCGTATTTTACAAACTTTTTAATTTAGTAGGGTATATTAATTTATAATATTTCATTAAAATATGTATTTAATTGAAAATTATCATTTTTAAAGCCTCGGAACAAATATTATCCGGCAAACGAAAGTCGTTTTTAACTGTTAATAATTTAGGCTTGATTCATACTTCTTGTGCGGAGACAAAAAAAAATATTTAAAAGACACTAAATACAGAAGTGGATATGTTTTACTTTGGCATTTGTTAAAGAATCAAGCTCTCTAGGCAGTTTTGCATTGGTAAACGAGAAAAAAATGCGTTTCTTTCGAGCGGCATCACGCCTTATCTTTTTAACCCAGAAACAGACTTTTGATACAATTTATTTTCATCTTGTCCTTACGTCTAAACTTCACTTTTTCTAAAAAAAACTTCTTTGGTTATAATAGTGCACTTCTTAAAATTTTTTTTCTATTCATCTTGTATTGATCTCCATTTCATTTTTAATGGTTTGAATAATACAACATCTGGTTGCTGACACATTTGAGTTTAATTTTTAGGAAAGCATACAAAATCAATATTAATTTCCAGTAATAGGGGAGAGTGGGGTATTAGCAAACAGTTAAGCGGAAATACGAATTAAAAACACCAATTATAAGATTTATTGCTTATCAATCAGTCATAAAGCCTCAATTTTCATAAATCATATATTAAAGTAAAAATGAATTGAAGTATCTTACTACAGAGACAGCCAGAATATTCTTTTACTTATAAAAAATTGATTAGTTGTATAAAATTTGTATCAAATAAAAAACTAGCTACCTTTGTAATAACATGATTCAATCTATTAGTCTTTGCGCAGTGAAATAAATAAGAAAAAAACTATTATAAAAAACCTTTATTGATTTTTTACATTTTTATTTAATATATAATTAAGGAGATAATATAAAAATATCGGTTGAACACGATGAAATTCAGCACCAAAAGTTTAAGAAACTATTCTTCAAAATCCTACATTGTCACAAGTTGACATATTAAAGTTGACCGGTGTTTCTCGATCATCAGTTGGATTTATTTTGCGGCGATATAAATAGACTCAATCTAATAAAAGAGACGCTGGAAGTGGAAAAAGAAAGGTTTAAAAGATAAAAAAGATAAAGCAAAATCAATCATTCGCTCCATAAAGGCCAATCCATGTTAATCGCAGAGAGATTTTGCGAGAAAGTTTAAATGCAGCCAAGCTTTAAAAGGAATTGTACTTCGATCTCAAGAATATAAAGCATATCATAAAAATAAAATTCCAAAACGATATATTGATGGAGAAATTAAAGTAATGTATCTATCTAATATACATACATTTTTGTTATGTTTAATATAATGGTATCTTTAAATAAAGTCAAAACTTAATGTTTCTGTGTATTTTTTTTCATACAAAAATGGATTGGATTTCTAGCTAACATATTTTTCTTTATGAGAAAATTAATTTCATTATTTTATTACCAAAATTTTGCGCCGCAGATTTATTTATGCGTGACGATATTATTTTAAAGACGCAAAAATTTAACTGCGTTTCAGTTAGACGATAGCCGCTAATTACTGCATATAAATTTACGCTAATTGTACTGATTTCTTTTATCACCACATAAAGTCAATTCAAAAAATACAAAGCAACTTTAACTTTACTGCTTACATATAAAAATTTTTTAAGTATGTTCATAGTACCAAAATGCTCACACTACCCTAATCTACCCTATCTATAATTATAGTTATTACATATCTCGTCTACACCTTTTCAAGATGTAATGGAGAACTTGAAAGTTGTAATTAAGAAACCTAAGATGTAATTTAGAAGATAAAAGTCGTAATTGAGAAAAGTTTATAACATAGGTTATCAGAAAGAAGTTCTTTGTATTTTTAATTTTGTTGCCTTAGTTTACCTTGTAACTTTAGGTTGGATCCTAATTTGCCTAAAGTGGGTTGGTTTTCATTATTAATAATATATTACCAATAAAATAAAAAAGTGATGAAAAATTCATTCGTGGGTTTGGTGGTAATTACACCTCTTCCAATGAAACTTAAATTTTCGCTGCGGACCCAGTTTTATATTTGACACTTATAGTTTGAGCCAGAGTCACCCAATCGCACAGCACATTAATAACTCTTCTTCTATCATTCGATGAAAATAAAACATAATGATTTTTTTCAATTTGTTTAGTTGCATGTATTTCAGGCCTCCAAATAGGACAAGGTGATTCTGGTTGTTCCAGAAGTAGATGTAAACAAATTTGGTGAAACAAATGCTTGCACGGATTCAATTTAATAACAGACTTTCTGTTCACAACAAATAACACAACAATCAATTCCATTACTTTATTACTATTACTTTTGCATACAAATTTTTTGAGCGAGGAAGGGAGGGTTATAGCCACACCAACCTCCCCTCCCCCCCGGTGATTACGACTCTGATTAGAAATAATGTATTCTCATTTACATATTACGATTTCATAACTTGTTTCTAATTATATATTGTGATTTCTTATTTACATGTTGGGTTTCTCAATTACACTTTAAAATTTCCTAATTACATGCTGTATTTCTCAATTATATCTTACTTCTTAATTACAACTTTCAAGTTCTCGATTACGTCTTGAAAAGGTGTAGTTATTGGAATCCCCCGATCATTTGAATTTACCGCATTAATTGTGTTTACGAATTTACCGCATTGAGTTGTGGTCACGATTTTCCGAGAATTTCTTGCTTAATTGTAGCAATTGTCTTCCAATTTCTTTTAAAATGATATTGACTTCCCATCCTTGTAAAACCGGTGAGCTAAAGAAACTATGACTCAAAATAAGGTTTTGATTTTTCAAAAAACGAAGACCAGATATATTACTGATTTAGGAATAAATGTAGGAGAGTACTGCTACATCGACTAATTTATGGATAACATGCAAAGGAATGCTGCTACATTTATTTATTTATTTAGCAACTTTATGCTAGTTTAGTAACTTATACAAAATAAATAATGCCCTTTACAAAATAAATGTTCACTATATAAGTTGGTTATTCTTTAGTGTTTGAAGCATTTTTTTTTGTAAATTTTTCGTAGTCCAGCTAAACAAATCCACCAGCTATTTCCTGGTATAGTTTCAAACCAAACACAAACAATGAATTCTGTCCTGCTCTATTGCATTGGCTGCTTTTATGAAAATAACTAGCTTGTCTAGTGTAATGCTGATGTAACTCACTATTTTTTTGAATAGAACGGTTTAAATATATCGTTTACAGTCAATGTAACAAGAATGAAACAGAGTGATTTAAAAGTTATTCTGTTTTTTACACTGATCCAACCAAGCAAATTCAACATTTCTGTTTTATGAGTTAACCAGTGACATTTTAATATAATCCTCATTGCTTTGTTTTGAAGTTTTTCTAGGATATTTAAGTTATTTGTGTTGACATCAAGAAAAATAGAAGCACAGTATTCATAGTGGGGAGCAATTATAGTTTGAAAGATTATCTTTTTGGTCCAATGAGTTAAGTATTTGCTTATTCTACCAAGATATCCAGTTTTCTTTGCAATTTTATTAGAGATATATTTGATATGTACAGTAAAATTAAGTTGGTAATCAATAATAATCCCTAGATATTTCACGCTATAACTAAATTCAATGACGAAATCATCCAATATCACTTTTATGTTATTGTTATGATTTATTAAACTAATTTTTCTTTTTTTTTAATTAACAATAAGCATTGCCATGGACTTAAGAGTATTTAATTTAAGTTTATTATTACTTAACCATTTACAAAGTATTTTTAAGTTTAATTTAATTTAAAAATAGTTTCTTCGAAGTTTGTGCCCTCAATACAAACCAATGTATCATCAGCAAAAAAATTTACAAAAGAATACTCAATTTTTGATGCAATATCGTTCATGTAAATGATAAACAAAAGAGGTCCAAGTACACAACCCTGGGGACCCCTATATCACAAACTAGTTCACCAGATTCTTCACCTTTTATTTTGACTACTTGAGTTCTCATTGAAAGATAGTCTGCAATCCAATTAAGAACTGTACCTTTAACTTTATAACCTTGTAATTTTTGTATTAAAATCTTTCAATTAACTGTTTCAAATGCCCTTTTTAGATCTTAAAAGGGCATTTGAAACAGTTAATAGAAAAATTGTTATACAAAAATTACAAGGTTATAAAGTTTAAGGTACAATTCTCAATTTACTGTTACAACAAATTTATTGTTGTTCAAAGATGTTCTCCATTTAGAAAGTAGTAGTTGAATAGCTGATTCAGTTGATCTATCTTTTCTGAAACCAAATTGGTTATTATAAAAAATATTATTACTTTCAAAATTACTTGACAACTGCTTGTGAACAGCAATTTCTAATATTTTTTCATAAGTAGGAAGCATATTAATTGGTCTTAAGTCTTGTGGTAACTTTGACGACATTAGCTTTGGAATTGGAGTGATTGTTGACTTTTTCCATTTAGAAGGAACTTTCCCATTTTTTAACGAAAAATTAATAATTTTTAATAGAATACTTGAAAATGATGAGTATAATTCTTTAAATATAATAACATTTAAGCCCTCACACATTGAATTCTTGTTTTGTAATTGATTTACTATATCATTTAAGTCTTGCATAGATAAAGGAGTAAATTCACAAAAACAAGGAATATTATCATTTAGTGATAAATTTTCCATAGTATTATAACTTATATCACTTTAAATTGGTGTTTCAATATCTGTGATACTTTGGATTAAAAATTCATTATATTTATCTAGAATGGATTTTTTTGTGTCATCTCTTTGAAAACTTCGAATAACATTTTCTTCATCAAATTTAATATCATCCATTATATTTGATTTAATTAATGGTTTGACAGATGTTAGATATTTCAACGAATTCCACATAGCTTTAAGATCATTTTTGACTGAATCAATTTTTATTATATAGTAATCAGCTTTTAGTTTTTTTAATAGTGATGTTTTATTATTTTTTATTTTTTTAAATTTGTTATATTGTATTTTACATTTGCTTTCACTAAAACCATGGTATTTAAACCAAACAAATGTTTTCCATTCTTGATTATATTCTTTTACTATATCGGTGTATTTAGAATTCCTTAACCAGTTATTAAAACTTTTCTTGCATATTTATGTTATTTTTAATAATTGTTGTATAACTATTAGCCATTACTTTATTAACAATTTCTTTTTTTATATTTTTTAATTCAACTGAAATGTTTTTATTTAATAAAGAATAATCAATTTAATGGAAGTTCTGTTTGTTTTTTTAGTTTTGAATCGTCTTTTTTCTTTGATAGATTATTTACAAGTTATCATTTCATGATCAGAAAGTTTTTCTTTTTCATTAGTTTCGATAAGAGTACAATTTGAAATTGCTAAGTCAATACAAGTACTTGATTTTTCAGATATTTTTGTTGGTGTACTGTTGAAAATATATATTTGATTATTTTTGATAGATTGCTTTAGTGCTATAGAGTGTTTGTCATTTAAAAGTGTATTTATGTTAAAGTCACCAAGAATGATAATATTTTTTGAACGAATTGTAGTAATCCAAGTATCGAAAAACTCCAAGAAGTTTTGTTCTCCTCTAAAGATTTATACAAAACACTAAAATGAAACTTAATTTTGTTTATGACTAGTTCAGTAGATAATAACCAATGACACTTGTCCTTGACAATAGATTTAGGATCAGAATTTACTTTTATGTCATTTTTATAAAATAATATACAACCACCGGTATGAGCACTTGATGATTCTAAATTTATAAAACAAGAACCAAAAATTTCAAGCTCTTTTTCAAAGATTAAGGATGTTATGTGGGTTTCAGTTAATCCAAGTTAAGTCAAGTTTATTTATGAGACCATTTATATCTGTATATGCAATTTTAATGTCTTTTACTACTATTGATTTCTTGTTGTCATACTTTAATCCCACTCTATTTTTAATGTCATTATATACTTGACATTTTTTATCGAATGGACAATGTTGAGGATTTATCATTAAATTGAATTTTTTGTTTTTGCTAAGGCAATTAATACACCTATTACTTTTGTGGTTTTGACAATCTTTACTGTAATGATCACCTGAACAGTAGCAACATGAAGGAGTATTAAAGTGACAATTTTTTGCTATATGATTGTAACCTTGACAATGGTATCATCTTTTAAGAATTTAAAAACCGAAAAATCAATTTTCTGCCTACGTTTATCTTAATTTCACAAACATGTTTTATATAGAATGACTTTTTGTAGTCAGAAATAGTATGCTATTTTATTTAAATAGTCGATATTTTAATGAAAAAAAGTTTAAAAAAATATTAAAATAGTTCATCGTACAATCATAAAACATTAATCCAGTTTATTGTACAAAAACTAGATTAGTATTTAATTTATATACTCACTAGTAAACATTAAAATCTAATATTTTTATGGTTTCATATTAAACATGATACAAGTATATATTACACATTATACAAGTACCTAATTTATTAACAACTATTACCATAAATTATATACTTTTGACAGAAATTGTCAAAAATATAATATAATATCTATTAATTACAATCTTCCAGGAGCTGCAGTAAAAGATCATGTTTCCTGCGATCGGGATTATGCTAAGGTGGGTTGCTTCAAAGAGTTTCACAATGCAATAGCCCATAACTTATTGATTACTGATAAAGATGATCAAAGTGATGCATATCAAGGGTTTGAACTTGATTGGGATAAAATGAAGGAATCAATACATAGGTATCTAGTCTTTTTTTTAATACATGTCAATGAATGATTGTATATCATAACATATTGTATGAATAACATAAGAAGGATGCTTCTTAATTCTTTAAATGTTTGCTTTAGTTTAAAAAGATTTTAATTAAAAAAACTACATATAAAAAAATATCTGTTTCATATTAGCATAGCATGTAGATGTTCACAAAAATCACAAGAAGAAGGATATGATTTTTTCTACATTATTCATTGGGCAGAGTGTTGGTCCAGCAAAACATTGGGTGTTATTCTAGATATTGATAAAGCATCACAGAGATCTTCCAAGTGTTTTAATGCAAATTTTTTAGAATGTGACGATAAACATGTTGAAGAATGTGTTGGTGGATCTGAAGAAAAAACAAATGCTGTCTACCTCTATAAAATTTTAAAAGGCCATAATAGTTCAGAACCAGGTAATATTTTTGCTCAAGTTATTTATTGTGATTATTTTTCTGAAGAAATTATTGATGCATAGCAAAGGAATCATGGCAACATAGCAACTTCTGTTTCATTGAATTTCTATTTATAAATCTTTGA